CCATGCTCACACAAACTCATCAGCACAGCCTCTCCGTCACTGTAGCTGAAGGGCAGGGAGCAGCACCTGCATGCTCCCAGCAGATGGCTGCTGAACAGAGACACGGTGAGGATCAAATTTTCCACTTTACCTGGACTGAATTGGTGGGTAGCAGAAGCAGCAGACATTTTACAGAATAGGCAGAGTTAGCTACCAGTGTTAAAATCATTCTGTTGAGCCACAGCTGAGATAGTGTAGATCCTTGCTCACTTTTTTGGCTGAGTGAAAAGCAAAATACTCTCATGCATTGTTATGGATATAAGCAACAATATATTTTTCTGTAAATTTAATGAAAAGTGACTTTGAAATAGAATCTCTTCAGTATTGAAATATGATAGAACATTTGAAATCAAAATATCAGCTCTTGTTTGGGCAAGAAAGAAAACGGCATTTTGCCAGTACCACTGAAAACAAAGGCAATTTTAATTTCTGAGCCAAACTACAGGCATGAAAATTTGAAACAATCACAGCACATTTATAAGACCTGAGGTGGAAAACCCAGCCTTTCAAATAACAACTGAAGTTTTGTCTGTGTAGCAAAAGTAATGGGAATGATAAACCAGGGGAATATCTCCAGGAGGCTGTTGAATCAGACACAAGAAGTTAACAATTCCAGGTTTACCAAGATTAGTTCAATTAGTTCAACAGGGGAGCAAAACAAAGAAATCATGAAATTTAGTCATCGTTACTGAAGGAACTATTAGTGCAAGTGCCAGAAGAGCACTATCACTATACATTACTACTGAGAAACATCAGATTAAAAAAAATATCTGGAAATATCTTAATTAATAACCCTAATGAAATGAGTTGCATGCGTGTCAGCAGTGTGCCTTTGCAGTCAGGAAGACAAACACGGTCCTGGGCTACTTTAGCAAGAGTGGAGCCAGCAGGATGAGGGAAGTGACTTTTTCCCTCTATTGCACACCGGTGAGGTGACATCGAAAATGCAGGGTTCAGTTTTAATTTCCTCCTGAACCCAATACGAGATGGATATTCACAAACCAAGGGCCACTGAGCTGGTCTGGGGGCTGGAGTACATCATATATGAGCAGAGGCTGAGGGAGCTGAGTTTGCTGAAGCTTAAGCTGAGAGGGAACTTATCTGAAGTCTAATACTTTGTAAAGGCAATCTACAGAGCAGTGCACAAGGAAGGGCTGAGAAGCAATGGCCACAAGTTGCAATAAGACATATTGAAGCTGAGCAAAAGAAAAAAATATTTTCAAAATAACAATGGAATACATTGACCAAACTGCAGCATCTCCTTCTTTGGAGATTTTCAATACTTTTCCTGTTTCAGCTTTGAAGTTCATTCTGCTTTGAACTGAGGCTGGAATCATATGATCTCCAAGGGCCTCTTCAAACCTAAATTGTACCGTGATCTATGATTCATCATGCTTCTCCTTAGAGAAAGAGGAAATATTATTCAGATTCTGCTTGCAAATAATAAAAATGTTCTTTGAATCCAGGGAGACCAATCAGTTTATACCAAAATTGCCCTTTCTGCAAGATCACAGTTGCCAATATTTGTAAGGCAATTGTGTAACAGTGTATCACATAATAAATAGCAGCACAGGCTGAACATAACACTCCTACATGGTAAGACAAAGAACACTCATCTGATTATGGTATTCATTTACATAGAAATTAAGTTTAAAAAATGTTTTAAACCCTTGGCTTTGCTAATTCCTGGAAGACTGTTTAGAATCTCTTGCTTTTAACAAATTTCAGCTGTGGTTTTTTTCCCCTAAAGTACATAACTTGTTTGTTGTGAACAAGAACCAAAATCCCAAGAGAGAAACCCAACAGAAAGACATTTCACTGAGGAAAAAAAATAAAATCTTTTTTGTGGTATTACTTGCCAGTTTAACATTTAAACTTTTAGACTTGGACCTTTGATAGATTACTATCAACCAGCCATGCTAAAAAAACCCCCAAACATCAGAACCAGAAAACAGCATTATATCATTCATTCTGTTAAAACCAATGCAGATAAGCAAAGCATAAAAAAAAAATTAATCTTTCACCTCTATGACAGAAAGAAACTGAAGCTCAAATTACTTGTTTTATGCTTTGAAGTAATATGTATTGTACACTTAGTGGTACAGTTAAATATTGTCTAAATAACCTTTGCTTATCAATAGTATATAACTGATTAAAGGAAATCAAATTTTCACAGTACACCGGGTTTTTCTACAACAAAAAATGGTTGGATTCACTTTTTGCCATATGATACAATTTTAAAATATTAATGATATTTTCTAAAATTTCTATGACGGTTTTAATGAAAAATACAATCAAAGGCTGTTAAAGTAATTTTTACAAATAGGCTAGTTTCAGGATCCCCTTATTCCAGAAAAAATTGGATGCATCTGTAACAAGAACTTGCACCTTCCAGTTCTTTAACATTGTATTTGTTTATGGAAATACAGGCAAAGTCAGGATACAAAAGATTAAATTAATACTTGCAAATGCATATTTTGTTCATGGCTTAAAACAGAGCTCTCGGAAGTACAAAATCTTTCCAGTAGCATTTATGACATCATTATACATTTATCCAAGAGTCAAAACCTGATGATGAATCACATTGATTTCCAGCACATGAAATTGCTTTATTATGAAACTTCACCTTCAGAAACTGGATGATTCTAGCAGGTAAAACTCTCTAGTTCCATTTTACTTTCACCTCACAGCACCATTCCAGTAAAGGAGTATATTTACCCATTGTGGCAAATGTATCTAAAATTTCTTATTTAATGTAGAGAATTACATTGCTCAAGCTCAGGTTAATTTACAAGCCACTTGGATTTCTCTTACCCATGGTGGATTTGACTCTATGGGCTCAGGATCCCCAGGCCCATTCAAAACACTTCATTGGCACATTGGGTCTAATTTTTCACTTTCAATGAAATATTTTATTTTCAATGAAAATTTTCACTTTCAGTGAGTAAGTTATAAGACTGTAGAATATAACTGGTGTTTGAGAAAAAAATGTACTGGCAAAGTCATTCCGAAGTGTACATGTTGGTCTAAGCCTCACAACCATAATAAGCCAGGGCTAAGTACAGTGCTTATACATATAGTACCTAATCTTGCTTGCCTCAGGAATAAAAGAATTTAAATTATTATAAATGAAGGTGATCAAAACCAATACAGTTCCTTCTCTAGACTTCTGTGCCTCCAAAGCACAATGTTAAAGTCTGTAATTTTTTTTCACATTCAGGAAGGCCATCTTTTTATTAGTGAAAGCTGTGTTTGTGTATTCCACTTTATGCCATGAACCGATCACCCGGTATTTCAGCAAAGCAACCCATAATACTCAGCTTGCAAACAGTTGCTAGCCTCAAGATCTGAGTGCCTAATTTATATGCAGCCTTCCCCAAAAGCTTTGAATATCCATTTTTGAGCACAGCTGCAGTCAGCTGTTTAAGAATGTGGTGGCACACAGAGCTTGTGCAGTAGAGGCCCAGGTGAGGCAGCAGGAGCAGGGCAGGATGCATCTTGAGCAAGTGGCTGCAGGAGCAGCAGGATGCTAGGCAGGGCTCACAGTGCTTAGCAGGGCTTCTGTACAGCTCTAAATGGGGAGAAAGCTTTGCCAACTGGGAAGTCACTACAGCAAAGCATATGAATTGAGATGACTACACATAGGTATCTCACATGTTAAGGGAAAGAAACAACAGGTATGGATCATATGACATGCCAAGTCTGTGCTATTTTTCCATACAAAATATCCATTAAGGGTGACCTGTGGATGCTGTAGCCAGCTGCACAGTGCATGGGTGCTCTATGCAGCCTAGGGAAGAGCTATATCCTCTGATATCCTAAACAAACCCCATTTGCTATCCTTTAAAGATTGCCCTCTGGTCACCAGGAATCCAGGATGTTTATCCTTGTAGTCCTGTAACTACAATATTAAAAAATGGATCGACTTTGAACATGAAAAACTGTATTGATTTATCTTATGCTTGAATTTTGCACTACAATCTCTGTAAGTGGGAGTTTTCATTATAAATCTCATTTGGAAGGGTTTATGGCTAGCCGGTTTCAATTCTCTCTAGGCTTAAAACTTGCAAGATATGTTTTACACTAGAAGATAAAAGCTGTCTTGAAACTGAGAGTGAGAGAAATAAAAAGAATGTTGTAATTTTTCTTAACTACAGGAACATATTTTGAATCAAATTTATGAAAGATTGAAATTTGACAGTCCTTATTTTTCATAGTTTGGTATTTTTGAAACAGTAACTTAAGCAATTTAAAATGTAAGAGCCTACACACATCCATAAGAACTCACTTCCTACACGTTGGGCAAAAGACACCTAGGATAAAATTACCTTACTGAAAGCACTTGACTTGACAAGAACGTAAGAGGCCAATTGTGAATTTTCCATTGTTCTTTAATGAGGCAATGGTCATGAAGAATTTAATGGTATATCTTTCTTACTCATGCAAATGAGAGACAATGTGACTGAGTTTTTAGGAGAGTCAGGGTGGGACATGGAAAGGCTGTTCAAGTGCTCACAAGCACAGGGTAGAAGTTCATATGCAGTATACAGAGAGCTTCTTTTTCACATAATGTGCTGTGCCTTGTTTCAGCCTTTCTGAATGCTTTTCAGATTTACTAGAACAATAATATTGATAGGATTAAGGAGCATATAACAATTTACTGGTCCAGCCTTCAACAAATAAGTCAGGTCTCAGGTTGAGGTTTTAAGAACAAGGACTTTCTCTTTCCAAAAGTAATAGATGCAATCTATTACTAAGTAGATTAAAATACTAATCTAAATAAATGAAAATACTTTCCTATTGTAAAAGTTCCTGTATTTTTCAGATTCCATATCCTACACTTTAGCAATTGTTTAGGCACATGGCAAGTGGTATACAGACACATGAGGCTCTTAAAATTGTAACAATGAACATGTAAATAGCAAAGCAAAATAAGTTATTCAATAGACAGCTTTGCTTACCTGTATATGACCAATCAATCTCTTCAATCAATTTCCTCTGTTGTCTGTAGTATCCGTACAGCAAATCTGCAAAATAGAAATAATTTACAATATTAAAACCAGAAGCCTAACAGGACCTTGCAGTGTTGATGCCATGCTCCCCTCCAACAAGATAATCACTTTTTAAATTAAGGATGAATAATTTACTCTGTCCTAATCTTGGACCTAAAATAATAAGTACTGGTTAAACAGAATCTAAATATAATTAACATTGTAGCATATTAAGGACACAAGGAAAGCAAATAGAAAATTTCCCGAAGAAATCCTATTTTGTGATTTCCTTTGAAAGAACCATTCTAGATAGCCTGGATGACAGTGACAGTTAAACTTTTGCTTCAGTGTGGTCACGACTTTACATGTTTTCTGTAACTTTGTATTGATGATACAAGATAAATTATATATTGAATGAATGAAATATTCAAAAATATAATTTCATTGTGTTCTATAATTATAAAGTATAACTTGTATGTCCATAAATTTGATGGAGAAAGAAGGTCAGATACTAGTCACTTTTAAATTATATTATATTTTTCTAGAGAAAAATATCTAACTGTATAAATGCTCATTGACTTACTCTGACTACTGAATAACCTTCACTGTTATTCTCTATGCCAGTCCTAGGGCGATTCTAGTAACACAGAGATGTGGGCAAATAGATGACTATGCCCCCTAATAATTACTAAAGCATGTAAATTGCAGATTCATGCTTTTTGAGACCATCATTTCAAGAGCCATAATGTTAACCAACCTCATTACTGTTCTAGAGAAATACAATACAGATTATCTAAGAAATATTTGCCCTCAAGCGTGTTGAAAACATATATGGATTGCTTCCTTGAGAAAATGCCACAGAATTCTGCTCATACTCTGCAATAAATAATTTAATGAAAGAGCTTCATAACATTCATTTATTTTTCTTTCATGCAGAAACGTTGTACTGATTACAGGATGTTAAATTATAATTGCTCTTTGCAAGTTTACACGTTTGTGTGTCTTACAGTGACTTTCTGCTACTTATCTGAAGTCCATGTTTTATAAACTTCACCAGACTTCTGTTTCCTCCATGTGATGTGATTGTCCTTTAATATTTTTCTCTTCTCCTTCTCCCTCCCTGCCAAAAAATACCGAAGTATCCCTTGTAACAATTCACAACATTCACTCCTAACTGAGATCAAACCTCACAGGTAAGGAAGGGCAGTGGAAAAGGATTTACATGCACCAAAGCTGTCTTTGGACCACATTTCCAAGTCAATGTGTATTGTGCCTACTCCTTCAATTAATTATGGAAAAGAAAGCTGTGTAAGTTGTGATTCACAAATGTCTCCGTTGCCTACTTTATCCATTGTCCTCCCAGTTGTTACTTCCTGCAATCTGTTGAGCAGTCACATGCAAACTAAGCCAGGGCATGAGGGCTTCCCACTACTTTATAAGTTTCACAGGGAGTTCTGATGAACAAAGAGTGATAGTTTCAATGAATAAGAAAATAAAAGGGCAAGGTTTACTTTGTTTGGTGCATTACACACTTATAGACCCATTAAATGTTACAGGAAATCTTTAAAGATTCCAGGAGGTGTCAGGAGTTGATACACCTTCTTTCCTCTGTTATTTGCCAGCTGTGTGTCCACAGTCCCTACACAGCACACTCACAGCCATGAACCTTCTTGCACCTGCAGGGACTCTCAGTGGTTTTGGTCTTGTCTCTTTACATTTTAAATATGTGGCAGAAGTCGGGGAAGAAAAGCATATTTCATCTGGGAAATGACTGAAAATTCATCGCTAGCATGAGTGGTGGAGCAAAGTGCTGTGTGAGTGTGAGGTTGAGCCACACAGCAATTGCTCCTTTGAGCTGCTGGTGTAAATTGCCCTGGGTAACACAACCATGCATTCTATTGCTGTTTAAACTGTCAGTGTTAAACAGCTAATGTGTAGAAACCACCTGGAAGGAAATGATTTTATTTTTTAGTTTATTTTATTTAAAGCTAATCAATCAATATCCCTTTTGCTGATGATATATGACTGCAGGTACTTCTGTTTAAATACCATATTTAAATTCCTTGCATTTAATTTAAATGAAGATGGGAAGAACATCTTCACAAAAAAAAAAAAAAAAAAAAAGAGAAGGCAAAACTGATGTCAAGTTTGTGGTTTTATACGTAAATCTATGGTACTGATTGAACTTGATCAGCTTGACAGTCTGCATGACTCCTGTGACACTGACTGACGTCTCCAGCCAGTGACCAAAATAGTTTGAATTTCGTAGATGAGGTGCGGCTTTATGAAGCAAAAAATACGAAATATTCTTTTTCGTTTCCAGGAAGTGATTGAACATGTTTCCTTAAATTGTTGATTTATTCACAGAAACAGGGCAGCTTGGTTTTGAGATCATGTCTTAAACAGTTTTATGAGTATCTTTCTATGCCTATTAAGGAGACATGCAAGATATCATTAAATGCTTTTTCCCCTCTCTCTTTTACTACTCTCCTTCAAAGTAAAATTTTTCTGTATGAAGCTGTAAGACTTGTTTCTTTTTATATTCTGTCAAGTACGTGCCCCAGTGCCCAAGGCCCATGAAATCAGAAGTAATGGTGGCAAATGCTCCCCTGCTATTCATGGGTAGCAAGACTGACTGATTTGTGACTGACCCTGCCTCATGTTCAGTCACAAGGCCAAAGAGAGAACATGATCTCTGGTTAAAGCACAGTGCTAGGAGTAATAAGATCTTATAGATACTTTTTCCTGTTTAAAAAGTATAAATAATCAGATTTTCTTCTTTCTGACATTTCTTCTTTTGTACTTACTTGCCTCAGTTGAGTTTCTTTAGATTTCGTGCTGTGAATGAAACATTCTAATCCTCAATATGTTTATGCATATTTAAAGGTGAAAAATTATTAGCTTTAATGATTAACAGAAAGAACTGTATGTGAGGGAGATCCTGTTGATTTGACACTCGTGCCAGAAAAAAGAGATATAGAGGAGGAAATGGGACCTTAAACCTCTGTTGGGCAATTCTGTTGGGGAAATTCCTCTCAGAGGTGCTGAGGCAACGAGCTCCAAGTATCCACCAGAGATCCCTCTCCTGAGCCGTGGTATAAAAGGGCTTTCTAAGGAAAATGCTCAAGAGTCTGTGGATGCTGCTTCGCTACAAAGGATACAAGCTCAGACATAATCTGGGACTGATATTTATACCAGGATACTGTAATGTTACCACCTATGTCCTTTGTGCCACAGCAGTGTCAAACATACCAGTTGCCAGACTCAACAGGAAAAAGGGAAAACCTCCTTGTGGTTTTACCTCCACTCAGTCTGAACTTGCAGTGAAGCTGGCATTTATGAGATTCTAGCACCAGAATGATTTATCTGTGGGAATTGGGACACATTAAGTAATGCCAGGTTTAGTGAGATCAACAAATAGGACACTAGTGTTCTGCATGTACAGGTAGACATTATGAGCTATGCATTTAGATTACAAACATTATTTGGTCACGGAATACATGGTCCATTCAATATTTTCTTCCTAAAATCTGATTTGAGAGAAAAGAGGATAGATTCCAAAGTCATAAGCATTCATCTGGTATAAGTGGATAATGGCAATGCAGTATAGCAATGGAGATAAAGCCTTTTGTTGGTATTAAAATTCCAATTTATATGGGGAAGATCCAATGCATGGTTCTTGGGCCAAGGAAGTGCACAGGAACTCTCGGAATACCAGCAAGGATGAGCAATCACTGAAAGCTGTGATAATCTTCTCTTTGAGAAACACAGAAGCTCTTGTTTCAAGTAGATTGTGTCTCATGAGAGCTCAGCTATGTACACTGGCATTACTGACAGCAGAAGTGGGAAGCTACGAATATCAAGAGGATTACACAGTTTTGGAAATTATTTAAAAATCTGTGAAGGAGAAATCCACAAACACTTCTTAAATACAGTGACACCACTTTTGGCTCACAAAGTCTGTTGATGAAATTGGGAGGATTACACTGGGAAATTCTCATTGCATATTTGCCCTCTTTTAATCCACTTGCCTTGTCAGTTGGCATCGGTTATTATCAGAGACAGGTTATCAGGAAAGTGGCTTATTTGCAGATTAAGATAACATATCTTCACTGGAGAAGAATTAGGAATTGTAGAACAAGATGAAATGGTATGGTAATAGCAATGCTTATACAGAGTAGCTGAAAGAGAACCTGTGCATGGCTAGTAGCTAAGAAGTGGGACACCAGACAAAATTGCTGGAAAGAAGTCAAAGAGAGGAAGAAAAACTGCAAAAATAACTTTTTTAAAAAGAAGATACATGTAATTAACAAAAGAGATGCTCAGTGCTTGTTAAATATGAAAAGAATACCATTAAATAGGTCCCATAGAGTTTCATTATACAGGTTCTGATTCTGAGAACGCTAAACAGAGGTAAAACTGTGCAAAATCATATCTGGTAATAAATTGATTGCTTCTTCCACAATTTAAATTCACTTATTTTAGTCTCTTTCACTGACAGGAAGGTCATAGAATCCACTTCTATATCTTTCATAGACCTTATGATGGTGTAGCTTCATTGCCTCAACTGAAATAAGTGAATAATAAATGAAAAGATTCAGAACAGAACCTGGTAACAGTCTTGATGTTTTAAGACAGTAGCTAATTATAAATCCCTTTAAGTGATCTACATTTGCCTGAGTAAGGTCTCCCTCTTCTTATGAATGTATTTAATTCTGCAATGTCATCTGTAAAATTCTTAACACCACAGAAATACTTTAATAACCCACCTCTACCATGTCATATATTCTTTTTCCTGAATGTGAAAGTGTCTAAGTCTTCTGTCAAGATCTGCCTGAGAACTCTCACACCCTTAGAGAAATTTAAAAATTTTCTTTTTACCCACAGTTTCTTCTATGTAGGCTTATTTCAGGCTTTGGTACATGACTCCCCTCCATCACATTTGAGTGTAGGCTGCTCCTTCCAATACACATTGACAAGTGAGACCTTTCCTGCACTAAATATAAAGCCAAAATAAAACTCTTCTCACAATTTGG